GAAATTTCACTGCACACGCTTGTTGATTAACTGGCTGTTCTACCAGGAATCCACCCCCCCTTTATTATGAGAATAATCATCAGAGTTGGTCTGTCGATTTCATGTGACTGTACAAAGTTTGATTTTGTTGCATTTATTAGATTCTGTGTTAGTGAGCAATAGACCGATCCAGTCCCGGTCGATAAGCCCCGCCCGCTTCGTTTTTGACTACTGACTAATCACATTGGCGTCACCGCCGGCGAAACGTACGTGATTGCGAATGTTGTTGATGAATTATGTTTGTTGTACTTTGGTATCCGTCGTTCGTGAATGATATTTAAAAAGGAAAGTTATACGTATTTTATTTTCAATATATTTTAGTTGACAGGTTGTATAATTGGCGAGTGAAAATGTAGTTAGATCTACATGCCCGATGAAAAATCGTCTCAGCCAGCTGCTGAGATTGGGAAGCGTATTTTCTACCAAATAATCTATCCGGCAATTCACGTTCGTCTAAGATATTAGCAGGGGAAAGGTAACTGAATTATGTTGTTTGTTGCTTTTTCTAAAAAATTCCCATCGTAATATTATAAAAACCGTGAACACAACCACATGTGCAAGTTGCAGATCGTTTCGGTATCTATAAAAAGATTGTCAAAACTGCGCGTGCTACCTTTATTTATTTATCCGTTGTTCAAATTTAGTTAAATTAGAAGTTTGTGAAAACATGGGTTTCAACCTTTCATGGAACAACGCAGGAAAACAGTATCCCGTCTACTACTTCGTCCACCTTCGTTTGTCTGTATATATATTACTGGAAAACGTTACTGGAACTGGGCCTAGATTTTCGAAGCTCTCTTAGCGCTAAGATAGTCGCAAGTGCCATGCATTAACATTAACTTACGACTATCTTAGCGCTAAAAGAGCTTCGAAAATCTAGGCCCTGTTAACACAGTATGTTTCCATGGATGTATCTGGACATACCGGGTGATACCCAGAAGCAAATATTCAGCAGCTAATCTGCAGCTATTCTCAGTAAAATTTCTCTCTTCAAAATCTGTACACCATCTTAAAATGACACTGAATATAAGGAAATCCATTTTTTTAATAATCCTTTCCAATTTATTTTTCTATGTGTACTTTGTTGTGGAATCCTAATCTACAAACCTCCACTATAATGGACTTCATGAACTGCCAGCATTTATCTACAGGTATGTCACACCACCATAAACACAAAGAATCCAAGATACAGTCTGCACCTGTACTCTGACACATCTTCAATAAATAGGAAACGTGTGATGCAAAATTTTTGAACAGAGGATCCACAGTTATCCGAACAGTTAACTAGCATTGAAATAGAATGTTACACAACATACAAATATACTGCTTTTTCTTCAGATATATTTAACTGCTAACTACTAATGAAAATAAGAGGCAAAGAATATATTCAAAGTTTAAAGCTTTTTGTCAATAAAATTACATCTTGACATTATTGCTTCTTAAACAATGATAATCTTATTAGATCTGAGACCATATCCCTTAGGGACATAACACTAATTCTGATCTATTTCCTTTTCTGAGATACCTACTAGTGTCATCAAAATTATATTAAAGTTGCTTAAACATTTGGTAAAAGTCATAACAAAAGTTTAAGAAAACATACATGAAAATGTCCTGAAGCTTTCACTTCTTGCAATGAAACCAGTGTGCAATTTAATATGAATTTAAGCTTATTTTCCAAATAAGCATCAACAAACCTTGAACAATTTGTCCAAAACCAACATCTTAATAAACACTATTTTGGCTCAGTCTTCAAATATTGGTAACCTCCTCAAAAGCTGATGATTTCTAAGAAGTATTACATGAAATCGGGGTTGAATATTATATGTTTCAATATCCATTCCAGTTACATGAACAGTCAACTTAGAATTCTGTAAGTTATTTGGTTCCAAGACTGAATAATGCCTGGGTGTGACCACAACGTAGCCTTTGTTTTTTTCTTCAAATTCTCTGGATGTTGAAATAACTTTATTATGAGTGATGATACTAGTGATCACTCTCTGAATAATCTTATTAGTAAATATATTATTTAAAGACCAAATATATCTTAAACCAAACAAGCTAACTTAGTACCAAGTGATTGTTCAGCCATGATATGTATATAGTGTTTGTTTGACTAGTTCTGCCTTAAATTCACATGAATCTGATATGTGAGTCAATTAAGTAATTATTTATAATTGATTGGATTATTATCTATTTTATTACCTTTTCCTCGTTTCCTGGAGGAGGCAAGATTCGTAAAGCATACTTTGCTATCATTTCCAGTGAATTATAATTAAAATGACAGAACTATGTTATTACTCCTAAAATGTACCAATGTAACCCACCCACCCCACCCTACATGTAAAAAAATTATGCTGTGACAACAAATAAAAACAAATAATGTTCTCATAGTTAGGAAATAAACTTATATTTCACTCCGTCCGATATTCCAGAAAGTCATATTCTTCTAACATAGTTTTCGTCTCCGATCCACATGGAGTAAGCTAAATCAATTCAAGGTCCCATCTCTTTATAGAAATTCTGAAATATTTAAGACGGTGTTATAGACACTCATTTGAATTAATTTTGATGTTTTGATATTGCGTGATAGGCAACTGCTGACACTGACAATATTTCCGTTTGGATAAAAAAAATATTACTCCTCGAATATTTTGCACTATCAACAGATCATGTACTGTTCATAGGCCTTCAGATTGTGCTTTTGGAACTTTAAAACATCCTAAAATGTGTGACAAATTTAAGAATATCTAATCGCGAATGCAACCATATCCACCACATTGTTCTTTAATGTAACAAGTTTTTCTATTTCGGTCGACCCTAACCGAAATCAGCTCGCTGTCAGATTTGTTTACATTGTGTCACGGCTTTCTCGCCTGTCTCATTTCAGGTTTATGGTGTACCAATTCAATGCCTAGTAGTGACTAAAAACGTGAAGCAAAAACAATTTTGTAGTTACAAGAATTGTCCGTGTTTATAACACTTGCAAAATCCTAAACTGCTATTTGTTGTAATGCTTTTGCACATGTGCGAAAGTGTGTAAATTCGTGTAAATTCTCACCTTCGAGCTGACGTAGGTTTCGTGAACGACGGTGCCGACATTTAACTGCTCGTTAGGCCTATCGCATTCCTTGATCCGCCTCAATGTTTTTGTTTTGATCGTAATGGTTTTGGTTAAGGTACACATCAAATCACAGCAATATGTTATAGATATAGCGAGTGTAAATGGCATAATTCTTAGCACATCGCTTCGGAGGCATCGTTTGACCCCGGAAATAAGTCTGACAAATCCACGCAGCGCGCACAGCCTGCTGATTGGCCAAAATTTACGCATGCGCCAGTTTTGACTGACAGACTGGATCGGTCTATTCATCGGTCTCAAATGAAGTCAAACGGACTGTAGTGTTTGACGTTGTTTATAACTGATCATGACAATCCCAGTTCAGTTGTGTAAATCCTGTCATAGGTATGACAACTAGATTATCATGTTAGACGGGCGAGTTTTCACATGTACTCAAGTGTATTATAGATGGAAATAATACATTTAGACTGACTGACCGAGTTTAGTTTTACGCCGCTTTTAGCAATATTCCAGCAACATCACGGCGGGGGACACCAGAAATGGGCTTCACACATTGTACCCATGTGGGGATTAGAACCCGGGTCTTCGGCGTGACGAGCCAACGCTTTAACCACTAGGCTACCCCACCACCCAATACATTTAGAAAGGCATTTAAGTACACATTTCTTTATTACAATATTATTTACAATTGCAAACACACACACACAAAATGAGGTTGTACACTCACCTATTTAGAATTTATTTGAGTGACAAGTTGCTTTGAAGTATATAGTGAAACAGATGACATGCGACTTCACACGTGCAAACAGATCTTTCAGATTTTAGGCTTGAGAATGTTAATGATTGAAATTATAAAGTTCACAGAGTCAAGCAAAATATATGTTGGTCCATTTGTGGTGCCTCACCGAGTGGTAAACAACAGCGTAAAATCATAACCACTCCAAAATGATCCCTGGGATCTATGCTTGTCGTAAGAGGCGACTGACGGTCAGGCTCGCTGACTTGGTTGACACATGTCATCGATTCCCAAGCAGATCGATGCTCATGCTGTTGATCACTGGATTGTCTTGTCCAGACTCGATTATTAACAGACCGCCGCCATGTAGCTGTAATATTGCTGAGTGCGGCGTAAAACTAAACTCACTCACAAACTCCTTCATTTTTTGCTTGCCTCTCTCTCTGGAATATACAGTGCACTGGTATAATAATAATCCCGCCACGTTATATCTTAATCCACGCCTGTGGAATAATGAAGATTAGGATTAACCTGGTTTAGTCTGAACCGCACATTCCAAAGACGGAGACCATTTGGTTGATTCAATTAGTTCCCCATGCCACAGATTGTGGATTATCATCATTCTACTGCCACTTCCGGAGTGTAACCATGGCTACAATCTAAGCAGAACTTTCAGATGCACCTTTCCAGTGCTGAGAACGACCAAAAAGTGACCCTGTGTTGTCGTGAGGCTTTGAAAAACAGGCAAACAAACTAGACGCCATTATTTATAATCAACGTCAACAACTTCAAACAGTATATGTTGAGACGACCACCACAATGATTCACAGAAACGTCGAGTCTAAACTGAATGAGTAGAACGTGAAAGGTAAAGCTACCGAGCGTCAGCTGGTTATTATACAAAGACGATCGATTTACCAGTGACACAACTCGCATTCGTAACCAATCGACCCTTTCTGTAATCCTAAGAAGACGCTATTATTCGGAATAACAAGAGTGGATCACGAATTCCAACTCCGCTATTCCTCCCAGGTACGAGAGTTGTGCACTGCCAGAATTGTCAGCACCTTTCGCGAAAAGAAACCCAAAACCAAATTTGTAAGTTCGAAACTGCTGATGTAGAAGAACCACCCGGTGTACTCTAAAAATAGATTTTGGTTATACCCAGCCACGGTACATAGCCACTGCGCAATTCGCCTTGCCAACGTTAAATTTAGGTTGCATTTGATGGATTATTTGTGATGGACGCCATGGATTAGCTGACTATGGGTAAGAATTAGTTGAGAGCCGCGACAATCAAATATGCTTGAACTTGTGCCCAGTGCGGCTCTCTATGAGGAAGTAGACTGTGCTGTACAAACGTTGGTGCGATATCTTACATACTCCCTCGATTAACCATACCATTTCTAAAGCTGATCGAGGTTATATGTGCATTTACTAGTTCAGTTGAGTTTTACGTCACATCGCCATTATTTCTGCCATAAAGCGACGAGACAAGTCTGCACACGTACATATTTTAAGTGAGATTAAGTGAGTTTTCTTGAAACACATATTTATCCAGAAAATTTGTATTTACTAACTCCTCCAGCTAGCTCCCTTTGACATAACCAACAGCAGTAGAAACAAGCATTGTCACTAAGGTGACATAATCCCCCGCCGCAAATTATCAAATCAAACTGAAAAAGTAATGAACGTTAAAGATGAAGTTAAATGTCAACAAAAACATGACCAGTCAACCTCTCTTGATATCTTGCTCTTTAGTTGTTCAAACACACAAATCTTTCCAAGACTGACTTTGACCTTGACATGAATGTCATAGTGTATGCAATATGCAAAAATGATACTAAAGAAATTGCTTATTGAAAAATATTCAAGGGAAGTCTTGAAAGTCTACGAAGAAAATCCAGTGAATTCAGGTTAAGTGCTGAAATCTTCAAAGTGTTGCAGTGACCTTGAAAATTAGGTGAAGGTCACCAAACTGGGCCCTGCTCCTTCATTATATGAAGCTTGGTGTCAAATATGAAATCCAGTGAATGTTTTTGCGATATCTTGATGACTATCTTAAGATGCAATTTAACATGGTGATATCTTCAAGGTGTCTTTGTGACCTTGGAAATTAAGTGAAGGTCACCAAAATCAACTGGGCCAGATGCAACAAAGCATTTTCACAGGACCACTTGCTGTTGAATATAGATAAAGCTTGCTGTTGAATATGAAGAAAGAGATATCTCACTGACAAAGGTAAAACGTTAAACTTCCCAGGATTTTGCACAGGTCCATTTTGAAATTAAGGTCAAGGTCACCAAACCCTGACTGGGACCATAGATGACAACAGATTTTTATACTGTGAGGTACCAAATATGAAAAGAATCTAGTCAACGGAACTTAAGATATTCCAATTCCAGAAAAGTCTGGGGAAAATTACAAGAGGTGAAACGAATAGGTTTGAACTCCAGGAGGATTTGCAAAAAGTTACCAGGAGGACTGGCGCTTTTTTCATACAAGAGGATCTGCAAATAGGATGACAACAAGTATTTTCAACTCTTTAAGTTGAATTTGCATTTTTGACGATTTGTTTCGGTATGTCCATACCGAAAGGTATCAGAATCTGCAAAGTTGTGTTTTACATTGCATGTGACCTTTAAAGGATCTACATTAAGGACTAGTGTCAACAGGCTTGGGACCACTATAGGCAGGCATACACTCTATTTGTTGAACCACTAAATATTGACATAGGATGCCTACAAACAGGTACATGAGTACTCCAAATAGGCATCAGACTCAATATAGTTTGCCTATCCTTTATTTCCTATGATCACTAAAAATAGACATATGACAGCCACAAAAGCATGTACTACAAACAGGTTCAGGACCACTACAAACAGGCTTAGCACCACTGCAAATAGCAAATAGGCTTAGCTGCAAATAGGCATAGCACCACTGGAAATAGGCTTAGGACCACTAGCAAACAGGATTAGGGCCAATGCAAATAGGCTTAAGACCACTGAAAGCAGGGTTAGGACCACTGCAATATGGTTAGCACCACTGCAAATAGGCTTAGGTTTGCAGGAAATAGGCTAAGGACCACTGCAAACAGGTTTAGGACCAATGCAAGTTGGCATAGAACCACCTCAGACATGGGCCAGAGACAGATGTATTAGGACCACGCAAGTTGGCAAAGAACTATTACAGAATGGGCCAGAGACAATGTTCGCAGAACTATTACAAATCGGTTGTTATTTTACATAACTACACCCAAGGATATATATCAGAAAAAGATTTGCTTTTAAGTCAAATATGGGTGCTTGGCAAATACCACCAGATGATTGTTTTAGAAATGCATTTGCACAGAGTTGCAGATTATACTTGATACCTATGGTGTTCATGGAGTATGTTTCTGGGCTGCTAGACTTGACTACTTTCTGGTTGCTAGAGTTCAAGCTTCCAAATGGCAGCATAAACAAAACACTCTTCACTTCAGATATCAATGGCGGAGCAAGACGACGGCACCCGAGGCAGAGTCCGGCAGTGTTGAGGAGCAGAGGGGACAACTTGAACATCGATGCTGGGAATGTCTCCGTGTATGGAACGCAGATCATCAGCAACACTGAAGGTGAGGACACTTTGTTGCTGTTTATCACTTCACTGCTGCTTCGTCACTGTATGGTTGATGTTAAATTTAAAGGATGTTGAATGTTAATTCACTGCCTGTTGCTTCATTGTGAGCTTACAGTGAATACTAGGGTAACGTGAGTGAGTGAGCTTAGTTTTACACCGCTTTTAGCAATATTTCAGTTGAGGTGAGTTTTAGGTCATATCGGCACTATTCCAGCCATATAGAAAACAAACAAAAATTGGCCTCCAACCGCCCCCTACAGCCGACCTTTCCACCCATTTTACTAAAGACAAAGTGAAATCTTAAGACAAAGTAATCAGATGTTTGATTACATCTGATTACTTTGTCTTAAGATTTCACTTACAGAGATCCATCTTACATCAAGATGAGGTATATGACACAGAAATATTACCTCTGGTAAACACTGACATAAGAGTTTTTATTTTTTTAATTTTTAATTTCAATGTTTTTATTGTCAGAAAGTCCCTGTTACAAGACTGAGGATCACCTCCAGGAAAATGGTGACTCATCTGGACAGTATGAAATCTTAGTGGTAGAAATTCTGACATTTTCTAAAAAACAAAACAAAAAAAACGCACTCATACATACTCTCATCCATACTAATACTGTTGTGAGTTTCAAATAAACTGCTAGCTTTTCTCTGTGTCTGCTTTTCAATTATAATATATTTTCACACCCAAATATAAAAAGTTCAGCAGAGAGCTTGATATTAATATGTGGTCACATTTCTGTGTCAACCATCCATGGAAGTTATTCCAAAATATGTCTACAAATGGACACTGCCAAAACAAGTAAATTAAAGTTCATAATACCAATCTCTATACAAAACACATTTAATACAGACATGGAACTAAAAAATCATACAATTGTTGCCTCTGTGAAGTCTGAAAAGAACTAGTTTTCCCTGACCAAAGGCAATGTTCTGACTTTTTTCCAAAATTTCAATTATCACTGACTGGTAACAAAAATTCCCTAAATTTCCCTGATCTTGAAAAAATAATTTCTTCCCTGACTTTTGGCAACCCTGAACCAGTGACAACATTACTGTGGAAGTAAACAAGTGTGTTGACTACAATATTGCCCGGCTTGGGTACCTTCAATTTGCATATTTCGCTTTGCCAAATAATAACAGATTTTCTTACTACATATTCTTAGTAGTGTGACAAATAATCTTTCATGAACAAAATATCAAACTTTCAGTGTTCATGCAGCATCAATTACCATTGTCAACCTATTCCAATTTTGAGAGACTGGCTCATGGTGTTACAGGGCTGCAGTCTTTGAGGACTTGATTGAGAATTGGTCTTCAGCAATCATAATAGGCGACTGATGGGATCATGTCATAATATCACAGTTGTGAAGATTGATGCTCATGATGTCAGTCACTGGACTGTGTCCATATTTATTTATTTACAAACCAACATTATTTTGCTGGAACATTGCTACGTTTAACACCAAACAAACAATCTTATGCCAGTGTTTGAAGTTAAGCCTACAACATAACTGATTACTGAAATGCCCCTCTGTTTCAGGCAGTTCACAGTGTGATGAGCTGGCTGGCCAGAACATTTGTTATGGTGGGACCCAGATTGTGCTCTCTCCACTACAAAAACACCAACAAGGTACTATCATGGAGTAATAATTCAGACAAAAATTCATTATTATACTGAACCGCAAACACACCCAACCAAACATTTTGCCAGATATGTTTCTTCTGAATGTTAATTAATTTGTCACTATTTATATTTTAGCTCGACCTGGTTCGTAGCCAATGTTCAAGAAAATTTGGTTTCAGGTGCTGTATTTGATACAAAAAAACATGTTGTCAAAACGCAGTTACTAATGTAATGATAGGACAAGGTTTTTGTGCATATTTCATGAAAATGACAATGCTCGTCCGAGGTGTCATCCCTATCAGAAGAGCAACCGAACATGCACCGAATCATTCACTGTTCGACAGTAGCGACAAGCCACGATTATCAAGGGAACAGCGGGACCAAGCTTTAGGAAGACTGAATGCTGGCCAGACTGCAAGACATGTTGCAAATCATTTTTCTGTTCATGTTCGAACAATATACCGCCTGCAGCAATGAGTCCAAGCCACTGGAAGCACAGCCGACCGTCCTCGCATTGGAACACTGCCTGTGACAACGTTGAGGCAAAATAGGCAGATTGTCCGTCATCACCTGCAAAATCAATTCGCTAAGGCTACAGAAACTGCAGACAACCATTGGCAATAACCAGAGACCAATCAGCGCCGACACAGTGTGGAGGCGTTTGAGGCAGAGAAACGTCAGATGTCACAGGCCTTACCGGGGTCCGACCTTCACTGTTCGAGTCGTGCTCGTCTCCAGTGGGCCACACATCATTGGAATCGGCGTCACCGGGAGTGGCGAACTGTAGTCTTCTCCGACGAAAGCAGATATTGCGTCGCGACGGCTGATGGCAGAGTGAGAGTGTGGCGACGACGCGGGGAGCGTTTTGCAGTTGATTGTGTCCTGGAAAGAGACTCATGGGGAGGTCCTAGCATAATGGTGTGGGGTGCTATTGCTCTCAATCACAAACTAGGCCCTATGGTGTTTCAGAATATTGGTCCTGGTAGGGGAAATGGTGTAACATCTGCCCGCTACATTGATCAAGTGCTGAGACCCTTCCTCATGCCACATTTTGGTCGTCATAGAAACCACGTCTTCCAGTATGACAACGTGCGTGCCCATACTGCCAGAGCAACTACAGACTTTCTCCGTCAACACAGCATACAAACTCTTCAATGGCCTGCCCTCAGTCCAGACTTAAACCCGATAGAACACTTGTGGGACGAGATTCAGAGTAGGCTAAATGATGTGCGACCAAGGCCGACTGCAGCTGAACTCTCTCAGGAGTATCACCGAATGTGGGCGCAAGTTCCTATGGCCTTCATCAACCGTCTCATCCACTCCGTGTACAGACGATGCATAATTTGAATCGCTTGCGTTTGAAAACTCTGTAATCTGTATCAACAAGATGAATTGCCAATCAAATTGTTGTTACTTAGGAGATAAACATCATGTGTTGGCGAATTTCCGGGTGTTATTGAGTATTTGAAGCACGAGAATTCATTTGGAACCGACGGCGTCAGCTGGAGGTTTCAAATGAAATATTCCCGTGCTTCAAATACTCAATAACACCCAGAAATTGGCCAACACATGATGTTTATCGACTGATATAAACACAAAAGTAAACCGAAAGGTCCACACACGTTTTTTGTGTCTGCTCTCATTGACATCGAGTACAGGTACAGCAGTGAAATGTCATCAGCTGGCCGTTTCGGCTGTCTCCCATGGTAGCATCTTGAACTGCTCATTTGTGACGTCACTCGGACTCTACGTCACAATATGATTTTAATGACGTCATCACAGCTGACGACGTAACAATACAATGGTGTGAGCGATGTTTGTATGTATTAATACGCAGAGAATTTCCGGGAATCAAATACCATTTGATCACGTTTTTCAACCAATCAGATTAAAGAACACAGTGACTTTTGGTTTACAATCTAATAATATACTCATAGAAACGAATAAGGGAACACATGGAAGTGCAAGTGCTCCTTTATTCTTTTCCAGGCTTCTTCGCATGCTTTGTATTACACTGTGGGTGAAATTCTGGACATAAATAAAGGAACACATGTACTTTCATGTGTTCCCTATTTGTCTCCATGAGTATATAACATTTGCACCACTTTTTATGAATAAGTGAGTATGGTTTTACACCGCTTTTAGCAATATTCCAGCAATATCACGGCAAGTGACACCAGAAATGGGCTTCACACATTGTACCCATGTGGGGATTCTAACCCGGGTCTTTGGCGTGATGAGCGGATGCTTTAACAACCAGGCTACCCCACCACCCCGTAACCCAGCATAACAATTTATATGAAGCAGTCTCTTTATTCTATTGTCATACAAACATAAAACATCATCACCTGAGAATGACCAGTCTCTATTTTCTGGCGAAACAGATTCCACTTTAAAGTGTATATGTCACATTTCCAAATTTGACAGTTTTGAAAAAAACATCACTTATGATAAAGTCACAATTGTACAATGCCAGTTCCTTAGGATTGCTTGGTTTCATCGCTATAAGGCTCAAATAATGCTGATGCGAAGTAAAATTTTAAAACTCACCCTTAGGATTATATGAAGGTTTTTGTTGAATTTATCTGAAGCACCCAAGCCCAACGGAAATTGAACAATTTTGAGCACTTTTCAGCTCTCTGGTTGAAAATCAGTGTGATCTTTGATGACGCCATATGCATGACAGGTATTCCATGTGAAAATCAAATAAATATTCCGCGAAAACATTTCCGTTGCAGATCGATGGGACGATGAAGTGAGTACTCACGTGAAGGGTTGTACCTGGACAAGTGTGTGCACTGCAGCCGACGAGCTTCTACAACTCCGCTCCACAGTCGTCATTACCGGCTGCCCAGGTGAAGGCAAGACCACACTGGGGTACCTGCTGCTAGACAACTTGAGAAGGCTCAACTGGACAGTTTTTGTGCCTAAAACACCTGAAGAATATTTTGCCTGCAAATTCACCAACAACACAGTCGTCATGTTAAATGACTTATGGGGTGCATTTGACTTTGAAGAAAGCAATGTGAGGAAATGGATTCCTGTTCTTGAAGATGTGAAATCCAGGCTGGACCAGACAGACTCGGAGGCGATGTTTGGCACCAGCGAGGAAAGGATGGAAGCACGGCTTGTAAAACTCGTCTGTGTCAGTCGTGAATACATCTGGAAGGACACCAAGCCCAAACTTGGCAAATTTGTCAACAACATCTTCAGAAATGACTCCATAATCAACATCTCCAAAGATATGCAACTGCAACCAAATGACAAATTAGACATCATTAAATCATTTGAACAGAAGTTCAACCTGACACTATCAAAGACTGTTTCTCAGAGGATGATCGACATCCAGCTTCCTCATGGGTTCCCTCACTGCTGTGAACTGCTCTTTAACCTCCAGGAAGCTCTCTCTGATCCCGAGTCGTTTTTCCAACATCCCATCGCATTTCTGAATGAAACTCTCGGTCACATCATCCAGGACAAGTCTGTTGAGGCTGTCTTCAGCCTTCTACTGAAGCATGATGGGAGGTTCAACATGCATGCACTCGGCCAAAAGCTTATCATCAATGAACGAGGTCTGCCCCCCATCAAAACAAAGAAAATAAGAGACATCTTGAAACGTTTTGAAGGCAGTTATTTCAGGAGAGAAGGCAGATGTGTAACTTTTGCCCATCCATCAATATATGAAAGCGTTGCCGCCACTATTGGATCAGTGAACCCAGCGTTCCTTGTGGAGTTCAGCAGTATTACCTGTCTAAAGGACTGGTTGGTCATAGGCAGTGACAATTTCCATCCCGGGTTGCCAGGTAACGTTATTTCTGTATCTGAGGAAACACTTCCTTTACTCATAAAACGTTTTCTCACAGAAATAGAATCTGGCAACCTATGTGAAGTTCTTTCACACAGTGTGTTTGGAAACGAAGATTTTGTTGCAAAGTTTCTTGAAAGGACAAGCATCCAAGACCTTATCAACTCTGTGGATGTTCAGTCAGGCTTGACATTCCTCTTCTTAGCCTCCAGCTGTGGGAAGAATACCTTTCTGGGGAACATCCTCACAACAGGTCATTTATCGTCTGACGAGTGCACAGAAGCCTTGTGCGGATGCTGTCACTATGGCAACGGAGAAGGTGCTATGCAACTGCTGTCACAAAACATAGCAGGTGTTTACAGCTCAAAGAACAAGAAGGGTGACACGCCACTGATCTGTGCAACAAGAGCAGGCAACTTGAACATATGCAGACTACTGGTGGAGAAAGGAGCGAGTATGACATCAGTCAATGAAGATGGGGATTGTGCCCTGCATCTGGCAGCCGAGTCCGGGAATCAGGACCTCACGCAACTGTTGCTCAACAGATCAACCCAGAACATACAAAACAGAAAGGGTGAAACGGCTCTTCACAAAGCAGCAATGGTTGGCCACAAAGGAACTGTGGACGTTATCTTAGACAATGATGCAGACATGAACCTGAAAACAAATGACAGCTTAACTGCTTTGTACATTGCCAGTCTGTCTGAATTTGAAGATATTGTGGAGTCACTTCTTAGAAAAGGAGCATCAGTAGATTTGGAGAACAAGACAGGCAATACAGCCCTTTTCCCAGCAGTAGAGGGAGGTCATCGCCGGATTGTCAAGCTGCTCCTTGGACATGGTTGTGATGTGAACCACAGAAACATGTATGGTGTTGCACCAATCTACTACACCTGCAGAAACAATGATCTAGATTTGTTTGATCTGCTGGCTGCCAATGGCGCCAACATGGATGTTGAGAACAAACAGGGTGTGACACCAATCATGGTGGCAGCCCTGTACGGGAATACAGAACAAGCAAACAAAATGTTTTCAGAAGGTGTCAGAAAGCATCACATAAACCATGATGGAGAGTGCCTGTTACACTTTGCTGTGCGAAGTGGCTCTGTCGAAACCGTCAAGTTGATTTTGAACAAAGACTGCAAGTTAGACGTTCAAGAAAACGGACAGAAGACTCCATTGCATATGCGTTAACATTAGGCCACCTAGATATCGTGTCAGAACTGCTCTCCCGGGGAGCTGACACCAGCAAGGTAGATGGTGACCGAAGAAGTGCTTTACACTTTGCTTGTTTTGGAGGACTGACTGAAATTGTTGAAATGTTGCTTGATGCCGGATCTGATCCTGATGTTGTGGACTTCAACGGCAATACATCATTACATATTGCATGTGCGAAGGGATTCCCCACCCTCTGTGAACTGCTGCTGGAGAGGGGCGCTGATCCAAACATTACGGACAAACAAGATCGAACAGCCCTACACTTTGTAGCAGGACACGGAAACCTCCAGTGTGCTCATGTTCTGCTGCAAATGCCTGGTATCAAGAAGAACATTGTGAACAGACAGAACGACACTCCACTTGATTGTGCAATGCAACATGACTACCCACAGTTAACTTCCCTCATGCAAGCACATGGTTGTAAAAGAGATATTTTGAGGATAATTGCTGAAACAGTCATAATACTTTACATTTTTTTTGCATTCTTTTCTCAATAGCAATTGTACTATGGAAATCTATTTTTCAATATTTCACTTGAACTACATTTTAAGTTCATGCACAACTAAATTCATTTCTCTGGGCCATAACACTATAATGAAACAAATGTGCAGTTACTAGGGTCAGCTGTACATAAACCGTGGTGTTCATTCAACCACAGAAACACTTTGTCACATGCAGGAGTTGAAGCAAGAGAAATTGTCAAACTCACTGGTCATGATAAAATCTAAGTTTATATTCCTACAAGCCTGACAAGTTACTGAAGCCCTACAAGTACTGAAATATGTAATTTTCTGAATAAAATTGATATTTTATACTTATCCTGACTCATGTTCTTTTTGCTTACCTCATGAGTCAGGATAAGGAAAAATAACATAACTCTGCCATTCTCCATCGGCAGTAAAGACATAAATCCTAAGTCTCCCTTTGGTGCCGCCGCTGCTAATACTTGAAATGACATATACTTGTCTTAAATCACAAGCTGAAGGACCTCAAAAATGAAAACAGAATAGTTCTATCTTCAAATTATGCTTCTGGTCTTTTGGTTTTGCATAAAATAATGTGAAGTGACGAGCGAATGGGTTTCTGACATTATATTATGTTAGAAGTTTGGCCATGACGAGAGAAATATGTTGATTTTCCAAACTTCAAGGCTCCCTTCCTGGAAAGTTTTAAAGCAGATATTTAATATGTCCTACTTTGTGTATGAATAGAGCAAGACTCAATGTTTAGTTGTTGAGAAGATAAATAAATATATATATCTATGAAATATATCTGTCTGTATGGATTGCCGCATCCGGAAAGGGTAACTAATCAATTTTAGATTATTTAATCATCATCGGAACACCACTAATGTGTTTTGGGGTTTGTTTTTTGGGTTTTTTTTTTGTGTGTGTGTCCCATCGTTTGCATAAAATTGATCGTATATTTTTGTATTTATGAAACTATGATGTTCCCTTCAGTACATGCAGTAGTAATAAAAATTGACAGAACGTGACAGTTGACTTACATATTTTGTTTTAATTTAGACCATAAAACAACTTTCTGCCAATTATTTTAAAGCGAGGTTTCAAATGACCAAGGAACCTTATAAGCATGAGGTTAAGCTTGTCAAAGAATATATTTTTTAACTCATGAACTACAGACCAAAGAATTTATATACTCTCCATCAAAAGTTTAGACTCACCAGTGTAAATGTAGCCATTTACTTAAGTAAACTGTTCTGAAGTAAATGTTACCCGAGGGTGTTCGGGGTGTTATACCCTTCTCCCTAGGCAATCTGTCTATCCACTCTGGTTCTGGGGATGATGTAGCTAAGATGGATAGTCAAAGATAAGTCCGGTATGGTGTTCAAGTCCATTTATTTTATAATGAATTCTCACACAAAGGTCCTCAGACACTACCTAGCTTTCCTGGTCTACACACAACACAGATTCACAAACTTCATGGAAGAACTTGTAGGATTCTTGTACAATTCCTAAAGTTACTAGTTCATCTGAGACATTCTCTCAATATACAGAGAGAGAACCTCTCAGGTCAACGGCGGGGCCAAGAATCGCTTCTGCTCCCTCGACGTGTGACAAAACTGTTCTCTGACAATTTTGGCTCCTCCCCCCGAAATAATGTCCTACGTCATACAAAACTGACTCATATCCCAGCTGCACCAGTAACTACAATCATTTCCTCTCTTCCAAGACTTAATCGGTAACATCAATTTCTTCCATCATAAATGTACTTTATTAGTGAGCTTAAATCATTCGTGAAGCATTCAACTGAATAAAACTTCAGACTGGCAGGCGCCAGAAGATGCTTAATCGTATCATTACGTGTGTCCCTTTTTTCATTCTTAGTATCTAAATTACCAGTAATTTCCTAAATGGTATATGAGTCACCCGATCCACATGTTCCACTCATCTCCCTTATTAGATTTGTTGTATGCAAGGGAAATGAGTCGATATGAATTTGGTTACTCTGGTCAGTGCACTTTCCAAGCACAATGACACTTCTTAACTGAACTTCAAATTTTCCTTAAATATTTACCAAATGTATTTTAAGTTTTCAAGTCTAAATATCCTGGTTATATAAATTTTGCAAAACTTTCCATACTGTTTAAAGATACTGTTTACCCAAGAACTGTTGTATTGTAAAACACATTTGTAACGTTGAAAAGATTATTGTCATGAGTTCCATAAATGATGAAACTCAGTGAAAATTGACAAATTCATAACAAAACTTTACACCAAAATGCAGCTGTTCACATGCATGATATTTGCAATGCTTTACAGCAATTTGATGCATGATCCTCGTGCAATTCATCTGCATAAGGTTTTCAGTTGGTTCCCCAAGTTAGCGGAGAAATTCATCTTCGATGTAACCATATATATATACATAATATATAGTGAGTGCTTTAAGTGAGTCTTAACTTTTGATGGGTAGTATAGTTTGAATACATTGTTGACCCTCACTTCTTGCATTACATACAATGTGTGAAGCCCATTTCTTGTGTCTCCTGCGGTGATATTGCTGGAACATTGCTAAAAGCAGCTTTGAAATACCTGCCTGCCAGACCGCCCGGGACAGGTTATTTTCAACACAGACTGACAGATTCACAAATACACCTGCTTGACAGTTGGGTTAAAAAATTCAGACATGTATGTGAAGATATTCATCATATTTCAGGATAATAAATCATTACTAATTCACTCATAAAAATAGAATAAATACATAAATTAGTATTTTTTGTGGGCAGGTAAGTTTTGGTCAGGTCTGGCAACTTTTACATCTAACCAGCCCTGTGGTCTGGCTGAAATTTTTGGGATTTTCACTCTGCTAACAGCGGTGTAAAACTAAACTCATTCACCTTCATCACAACTGCTAATGTTCCAAAGTCCTGTTGTCAAATAATGTCAAAAAACAGCTCAAAATACACTTTACCTTCAATAACTTCTACTCGGAAAAATTTATTGGGGAAATTACAAGTTATACATCAGAAATATTAGAGGATCAAATGAGTATGGCATACTATCAATATGGTTTACACAGCGTTGTAGCATGTTCTAGCAGTATCATCATGAAGAACCCTGGAAATGGGTTTCATACATGGTGCACAAGGGGAAATCAAACCCAGGACTTCGGTGTGTCAAACAAATACTTTACAAAGCACCCCAGAAATACAATATATTTTTAAAAATAAAACGGGTTTTTGCAGGCACTTTCGCAAAATTTATAGGAAGGTATGACTTCATTTATTTATATTCCACATGACTGACTGACTGAGTTTGGTTTTACGGCGCTTTTAGCAATATTCCAGCAACATCACGGCGGGGGACACCAGAAATGGGCTTCACACATTGTGCCCATGTGGGGATTCGAACCCGGGTCTTCGGCGTGACGAGCCAAAGCTTTAACCACTAGGCTACCCCACAGCCCCCGTATATTCCTCATGAAGAATACCAACAAAGAATACTTGGTGCTCATTAACTCATCTCTAATACAACGTCAGCAAAATATTGTTAAAAAATAGAAATGGCTTCAGACACTGTACAGACGTGAAGACCTGAACTTGTCCTTGTATTTTGTTAGGTTCTGGCTTGTTAGACGTTTATCACACAGTGCTATGCTGTGTATATTTAGGCTGAGAATTCTGGAAGGTACTGCAAAGCACAACAACTACACAGGCCTTTCCAGCAGTCTAACACGGAGATGCCAACCCCAAAGTGTTGCAAATAGTAGTTTCAAGGATCAAAGTTAGTAGTCTGACCATAAAATTAGTAGTCAACTAAATACTTAAAATCATGATAGATAATGAGAACGATAATATGACACTAATCAAGAGTGAAGCTTTAATTTCACATACCAGGCCCCGAAACAAACTTAAAGGTCACATGCAACATAAAACACAACTTTGCAGATTCTGATACCTTTCGGTATGGACTTACCGAAACAAATCATCAAAAATGCAAATTCAACTTATAAAGTTGAAAAAAAACGCGATGAAAAAACCCGAACGAAATCGTAGTTCAAACGATTCACTAAATTTCCCCCAGCGCTTGGGGGAACTGAATTGGTTTCAACAGCTAGGCTGCTCTCAAAGCACATGCGCAGTGAAATAGATTCACGGAGCTTGGAAGCGGGTTGTCCGGTGAATGCTTTGGTGTGAGCTATTTTTCTAATGTTTTGTTGATATTTCACAGGCGCTAGCTTTTTAAATGTTATTACAGTAGATTACCGATTTAACTGTTTATATAATTTCATTTCTCTATTTCACCACACGTTCTTCTTACCGAGTCAATTTCTCAGTTCGATACTTAAAAGCAATGTCATTATTTAGCGTCGACAGAATTTCTAACTGTGATATAGATATGTCGTCACAGACAAAACTCAGTGTCTGTTTTATTGGCACCTATGTGTCTGCCTGCCCGTCTGCTAATGACAATATTCAATACACAATTTCAATCACTGACCACATGCAATTTGAACTTAACACCTATCAGGTTATACACCATAAACAAAACGCATTGATTTATGGCCCGAGTTTGGTCTCTGTCACATTATGTAATTACACAGACAGGCAGGTGTGATACTTGTACACATGACATGTTATGATGTCTG